TGGGAGGACCCGGTTCGCACCTTGTGGCTGACAAACCTGTTTGGGTCTCGATTTGTGTGAAACCAGAGGAGGCAGACTGCTCTGTGGAGCAAAACCTAACGGGACTCTTAATGCACCTCGTTACGTTCAGTCACTGCCTGCCGTTGTATTATTAATACTGTTTATTCTGTTTCATTAAACACTGTCACTGTCCAGCTTTGGGAGTCAAAAACATGGATTCAAGTTTATAGTTAGTACACGTGAGTGTTAATACTCTGATCATTTGATAAGTATGTGCACGGCCACAGTGTCAGTGTCTCACCTGATGCATGCCACAGCTCCTTCAGGCACACGCTGCTGCTTCCCAAACGCACGACGACTCCAAAGATCCTTCAAGCAGCCGTTAGAGCCGACTCAACATTCCTGCTGCTGGTTGCACACGCTTGTCCACCGACGTCTTGTTCACTAATAAAAGCGCAGCTGCATTTTATTGCAAAAAGTTTACTTATTGTGTGATGTACAATGTATTTTTTTTTTTTTCATTTTTATTGTTATTGTATGTCCTGTGTGCTTCTATCTGACTTCATTTTATTGCTGATACACTGAAATGTTCCCTCTGAGGGACAAATACAACTTTCTTCTATTCTATACATTATATAAAAGAATATTAGCCTTACACTGCAGATTTCCACAGCTGGCACTGCTAAGACTCTGGGATGAACTCTTCATGAACATTTAATATTTTGACTGTTATTGTTTAATTAAAGATATTAAACTTAAAAAAAAATATGAAGACAAAAACACAATTCAATTCAGTTTATTTATTTAGCACCAAGTCACAACAGAAGTCATCTCAGCAGGGGCGATTCTAGAATCTGACCTTTAGGGGTGCTTAGCCCCCAGTGCTGACAATCAGTGGCTCTTGGCTTGAACAACGTGGTGGCCATTGGAGTCAGAAGCATTCATAATGTGGGTGCGGGGTCGAGGGGTAGAACATTTTGAATCAAGTAAATGCCATTTCCTGCATTCTGGTGTATTTTAACATGTTAAACATCTACATTTACCTAAAAACACTTGATTCAACAACTATTTTAGAGCGCACAACACAACAAGAAGCAACGCTAAGCTAGCGGCGTGCAATACAAATGCGCTAAGATGCTACAGACGTAGCATTCTTTACATTACACATCCTAATAAATGCTTAGTACAAAATGAGTTTAGTGTTAACTGATCATAACAAATAAAGACTAAACTTATGCAACCAGAAGTTGCAACATCTGTCTACATACAGAACAACTGAATGAAAGCACAACAAGCTTCAAGCATTAACCTTTAATTAACCATTAATGTTCAATGTAGTTATGACAAAACTGGAGGATTTACCTTCCTACAGATGAACATGTGGTACTTCCTGTTTATCACTCTTGTATTCAGCTGCTCATGAGGTCGGTCGCAAGGCTTTATCCATCTTAGTTATTATGTAAATAAAGTATTATAATGATCTGTTACCTTTTAAAAATACTTATTTTGTTGCATTGGTCATAAATGCAATAGACAAAATCCAAACCCAA